CCATTTATTTTAGCGCAGAACTGAACAACAATTTTACGTAAACATTTTTAACAGTTTCATGCTAATAAATAATATCCACCAATCAAATGAAGTGAGATTGTAGACCAATGATGGATTTTTTTTCTGATTTTTATATTTTTAAATTCATTTTTTGCAAAATAAATCCATACCAAAATTTTGCGTTTAGGTACAAATACAGTTCACATCATTTTTGTTTGAAGCCATCTCGAGGGACTGCACTGCGAACATCGTCCTACATCGACTGTGGTCCGCGACATTGGGCAATGCACTATGTCGATTAGTGCACGTGGAGCCGCCGGTGCCTTGAGCATGGGTCCTCTGCTGGGTATACTTCTAATCTTAGTATCTCTATGTTCAGTAAGGTTTTTTAAGTCTTAAACATGATCGGTATGTTCATCATACTTGGCACCAGTAGTTCACATGTGCGAATTTACTGCTATTTTTCTAGATTAAATTAAACATAAAAAATACCTAAATTTCTAACAGCAGTAAGTGCTTCTGGTTGGTTCAATCGGCAGCAATATTATAGTTTTGCTATTTTTTGTTTGGATTTTTTTTTTTTGCAAAAGAAACGAATTTTGTAAGAGAATATAAAAATAGAAAAATCACATTTTCCTCACCTAAACCACGTTCATACGATGAAACAAGTGTTCTCCCTCCTCTGTCCGCGAACTGTCGAACTGGGCTACTATTTTATGTCTGTGCTAGGCAGGCATGGCACTGTGAAAGCTGAAGGGTCACCAGAGCCGTTGGATTTAAATGGACAGCATCGGGAAAGGGGAAAGTCACCCGTGACTTTTGTTCCTCACGTTAGAGAATCCACGCCGCCGACGGGGACGGGCTGTCATTCTTGCCGGTCGCTGCCGCGGGCACCGGCGACTGGCGAGTTCCGCTGCGCCGTCGATGGAAGCACACGTCTCATGTAGTAGTTGCGATGGCCGGCTATTAGCGAAAAATCGTACGGCGGCGCCGCGTGTCGATCGGCAGCCGATCGACGGAAGGACCTCACTGGATTACTGGAGACGCTTCGTGCGCGCTTCATGTCCGGTCTGCTACTAGGTAGCTGCGTCGTCACTAGCAGCTTACTAGGTAGCGCATTATTATTCCCGGAATGATTTGCTCCACCAACTTCAACCAAGAATCCAAAATGTGCTAATGCCTCCCCCCAAAACTACAGTACTGTATTGTAGTATTTGTACTTTTAGATGGTGGATAGAAATCCGGTCTCTATATATCCATGTGGATATACACAGTCAAAATTTACAAGAGCCTTTAGACTCCAATCCTCAAAACTGAGGTACGTAAAAAATAAAAAGAAATAAGACTAAGAGAGCTAGAAAGACTAAACATCAAACTTCTATGTTCAAGCTTGAAACTTGCCTTGATTTTGTGCAGTAACAATCCTTCGTATCCTCATTTACTTAGAAACTCTAGATATCAAGCCTCAAATTTGACCTTGTGCAGCAGTAATCTTTCGCATCCTCGTTTACTTAGAAACTCTTTATATCATGACAAAGCCACCAAAGTGGGAATCGCGTGGACCTGCAAAGGCGAAGCCTTCAAGAAGGAACATGATGTAGGTCGGCCGCCACTGCCCATCCAAAATGAACTGGGTTTCATCCGCAAGATCTATGGTGAGAGAAGAGGATGCCTCAATAGAAGGAATATGACGTCAAAAGATGTCATCATCGTCGGCCCAACAACAAGGCAAAGGATTTCGCTTAGAATACAACCTACTTCCAATGACCAGCATGATCCAACATTGATAGCTGCACGTCGACCACGACCGCCATCGCACATGCCCTCATACCGATGATGCCACGTGGAGCACATATTCATCCCCATCATGAGCAGACTTAAGCACCCAGATAGCCTCCGCTGCTGCCAACCCCCTACATCACCGGTAATGCCACCGTGCTCGGAGACGCCAGATCCACACTGTGGCCGACGGCGTGGCACGCACAACCTCTATGTGCACCAAAGCCAGGCGTGCCCTAACACCACCCAACGCCACCACCTAAGGTCTCACAGTAGCGAGATGGTGATGCATCATGGCGCGGCAGCAAAACAATTACATTCGAGTAGAAAACCCTTTGCAGGTCCTCTTTAGAGAAGACATTGATTTTAATATTGTACCCAACTGCACTGGTACGAGGAGTAGCAAGAGTCGGTGTTGTACGGCTCCGATCGGCTCTTGTTTCTACAGTGGCTGCAGCAGTTGCTGCATATTTTTGTCTCTGCGTTTACTACAGCTTTTTGCAGCAGCAGCCGAAACCGCGCTGCCAAAATGGCAGCCGAATATTTATTTCAATAATTAGATTATGAATCGAATTTTATTATATACAAGGACAATGTTACGGTACCCCTTTACATATTACGAGTTAATACCTCAACTAAATCTGAGTCATTGATTCTTTTAGAATTTTTTTAATTAATTTATTGACTAAGTGACCTAGAAAAAGAAAAAAAATATTCCCAAAACCCTCTCATCACGGCAAGCATAAGTGGACGTGCATGTCCTTCCTTGGGCATCCTCACGGTATATTGCCCGTGGTAACGCTACGGTGACGTCTAAAAAACTAAATCATATAAAACTAAAAATAAATAATAAGACAATGTTGCTGTTGCCGCTGTTGGAACAATGTTTTAAGATGGCCAATTTCTCTCTCAAACATCTCCCGCTGATCTGTAACATTGGCGAGAAAAGTTGGTGAGTCAACTATTTTAAAAAGATGATTGATAAGCTCCAATATATTCCCGATGATTGAATAATCTCATTGGTCTCATAAAAGTGGTAATGCAGTAGTTTTTTTATCAAGATAATGATGTTTTAGCTACAGCCTACAGCCACTGTCTATTAGAATTTAGCAAAGCAACTATGCAAGATATTTTCTTTTTTATATGCTAATATAATTTGTTATTAAAAATATTAGGTAGTTAGCAGCTATATTGTTTGAATAGGTCCCCTATATATTTTAGCATAACTTCAGGAAAGTAAAAAAGATTCACAACCTATGACAGAAACATGGAAGTGATGAAATATGGTAATCCTTTCTGTTTGTAGCTCGAACTAAAATATTATAAGAACATGTCAACTGTAGCCATATAGTTGGCACTTAGTTTACAACAAAAACAATTTTTTTACAGGTTCCTACATATCTACAGGTCCATCACAAGAATCATTTTCAAAGCAAAATTTTAACATATAACATCCATAAGCTCATTTTATTAACCAAACTCAGAGATCTGAAACCTATCTGCTACCATAATTCCTATGTACAGAAGACACATTCTAAATGTCACCGAAGAAACTCCGGGGGGAAAGAAAGAGGAATACTTACAGTGTTTAATGAGATGCTGCTGAGACAGACTCTCAAGCCGTTTCTTCATTGCTTTTTTTTTTCTAAGTCTAACATGATATTTTCCTGACCAAGAAAATCCATTTCAGCAGTTACTTCTATCCCCTCTGTCTGCAAGCATAAAAAATTAAGAATTTTCTGGGATGTTTAAGGTTTCTAACTCATGCAATAAAAATTTAAGAATTGTCTGCAATTGACATAAAAAGTAAAAAAAAAAAAGAATACCTCAAAATTCAAGGTCTATCAGCATATATCTAACATGGACACCAGACATGGCACCTTCACTGTGTCGACCTGCGCTCTTCAGTCGGGTCCACCTCAACCACTGGGATGTGGCATAATTAGATGATGAAAATGAAGAAAAATATATACAAGCTGCATCGTTATATACCGAACAGAAGAGCTTACGGCCCGACACCCTCCGTAAGCGCCACCCCTGCTCCCTTCGTTTCAGCTAATTAGCATGTAAACCTATGGTTAATTAGTTGCAGCAACTTTTCATATATTAAAGTAAACGGTGCATCGCCCCCGTATACATATAGATGAACACAGCTAACTAAAGTCATGTACACCAGATTTTTAATATAGTGATACAGCTTTATTTTCTAGCAAGGAGATGAGAAACATATACTACAACTGTACAAGATTCTAGCCAGGCAGTATCCTTCACCATGCTACCATCTCCACTGACCCAAGCAAAATATAGTTGAACCACTCTTGCGCAATCATTAGGTGTCACAAGAACCAAGATCAACAAAAGAATGTTGGTGAGGAAGAAAAATATTTCATGAGAAATATATACCTCATCATCTTCCATAAAGATAGCCGAGGATGGATCACTCTTTAACATTTTCTCCTAGCCTTCTTTATAACCGGGAAGCATATCTGCATTTCAGGTTAAGCAAAAAAATACATGCTCCACAAACAAAGCAATGAACTACCACTTGTTATGAATTCCATCACTGTAGACACATGACCATGACAAACACATATGTCCCAAAAAAAATATTTATAGGAAAAAAATGAGAACAAGATCAAAATCACTAATCAGGATACGATGTGAAAGAATAATTAGTTTGTTCTTCCTTTTGATGTGATTGCAGTACTCCCTAGCTAGCACATTGACCTTCCTTTGGTCCATCCCCAACTGGCATATGTCAGCGTACAAAAGAAAAAGGATAAGGAAAATGTTTTGTATACAGAATTCTTGTTTCTAGATTTAAGGTGCACACCACTCTGAAATATCAACAGCCTTTCGGTCTTCATTAATATGAGTAAATTCAGTCAGAATGGAAATATCAAAAGCCTTTCAGAACTCAAAGAGAGTTCAATAAAATTTCTTTTGGAATACCATGGAATGCAATAGCGCGATAAATACTTCTCTTCAAGAAAAATATTTCAGCACACTGCATGCAAGGGTAGATAATTTGGGCAGCATCTGCAAGTAAAGGAAAAATAGAATTACTTACACACTTCATAATAAGCACATAGAGCCATGTTCATGGTCAAGCTTTCGAAGAGAATTAGGCTTTTAATGGAAACACAACATAAACAAGCGTGTACCTCGTTATCCTTTTGACGTTGTTTTTCCGGGCAATGTCCATAACAATTGGCCAGTACTCATGCGCGCGACCACAGGAACTCCACCCTGTCGAGGTTCATTCCAGCCGCTTTCCAAATCTCAATCATGTAGCGCCCGACCGTCTGGATTTTCTTCAGGTCACCTCCCATCTTGTTGTTGAGCTGCACGAACCAGTCGGTGATCCAAATTTTCACCTTGCACCCAGCGCCGACCATCTTGTTGACGTTGATGGTTTTCACAATGCCCTGGGAGTACAAGACGACAACTCAAAACCAAGTCTGTCTTTGGCTGAATCGTGCAAACTTATCATTTTTTTCTACTAACTAGCAGATGCCTGTGCGTTGCTACGGGTGCTTTAAAATTTTAAATGCAATTCAACACAATAAGAGTAAAAAATAGTAGCTTAGGAGCCTCTTTCAATGCTATAAGAGTATGAAAAAATAGTGTTTTAAAATCAAAAGACAAACAGATTTTAACTCGGCTTAGCAACATATTATCTCGAGCCACATTCAAATAAATAAGCATCAAATTTAGTAACAATGTCAAAATAAGTGCATGATAGATAAATCCTCCACGACTATCTCTTTCATTGTCTTTTATATAACAAAGTTCTTGTACTAATAAAATTCCAAGAACTTTTAGTGCATGCTTCTGATATTTTAAAGAACTTTGGAGTTAAGTTCAACATTTATCTTCTGGTTATTCGATTTCCGTCGGTGATGTTGCCGATTAATATTTTTTCACGACGCTTCCTATTTGTCGGATACCACAATAAGGGGTACCCTAAGCAAGAACCGAAAATATTGCTTAAGCCTTGCCAAAATCAAAGGCAAAGGACAACCACGAGGTCTCGGCAGATTCTCCGACTCGCCCAAGGCTTGCGCCGAGGCCCTCTCGCCGAGGCCCCCTCGCCGAGGCCCCGCCCCGCAATACCGGGATACCAATTCTCCGATTCGCCCGAGGCTGGGCTCGGCAACAACCTCGTCACCTCCGTCCCGAGCGACTCCCCTGACAAAACGCCACGTCCAGTCAATACGCCCCACTACTCCCATAACGTCACCAGACGTTGGTACAAAGTCTGCAAACAGAATGACCAACGGGACGGGGGGACCGGGCGCAAAGAGGGGTTACCTACCATCGTGCTCATCATCGTGCCCCTCGCCGACACCGATCGCGCCTGTGCTACCTAACTCCCGCGCCAAGGACAAAGTGGCGTGGAGGGTCAAGTCTGGGTCCCGTGAGTCTCGGAATCGGCATGAAAGACCAACCGTCTGTCCTCGCCTCGTCCCGAGACCCCCGGCGAGGCTCTCGGACGATTATTCTTCTCTTCCGCCGGCCGAGAAATTTGGGCTCGCCCCGCATCATCGCCGCCTCCGCCTCAACCGCCCTCTGGCGAGCCGTCACATCCGTTTAATGCGCTGGTCACACCTACTACGCCACCACGACCGACAGGTACAAAGAACAGAGGCGATGGGACAGCGGTCAAATCTCCTTTTACCATCCCCATCGACGGTGTAGGGGTTACTGCGTACTCTGTGGACACATGCTCCGCACTTCTCCACCGAACCGGGTAGACGACGCCGACCACCGAGACCCCGCATCATACACGAAGTCACCTCCAGAGGCCTCGGCAAAGCAAGCCTCAGACGATCACCTCTGAGACCCGCCGAGCCTCGGCAAAGCAGGCCTCGACACGATCACCACAAGACCCGCCAGCCCTCAAAGACTCCACCAAGTCAAGAACACACAAGGCACGGCATGTCTCCCTACGGTGGAAGCATAATCGACTAGACGTCAACAAGGACTCCCACGACCTCAACAACCTCGGACTGCCAAGACGGCGCGCCATGATCAAGTACCAATCGCCATCCCCAACACCATGTCTGCACAGGATCTGAACACATGAGGCTCCACGATAGCTCACTCATGTACTCCTGGCTCCCTCCTTGCGGTTATAAAAGGAAGCAGCCAGTGATAGCTCTAGGAGGGGGGGCGAAAAAGGAGAAATAGGAAGAACACCGATAGCTCACCCACATACACATCCCGGCCCACCGAGAGCAACGTCTCAAGCAGCCCACACGACACCTCGCCGAGACACGGGACTAGCTCCTCTCTCCCCTGTGCTTGTAACCCCTACTACTAGCACTTGGTGCAAGGAATACAAGATCGATCTCTCGACCGGACGTAGGGCATCGATTACCGAACCAAGATAAACCTTGTGTCTCTTTGCATCACCATCCGGGATTAGGAGCACGCAGTTCAAATTCACTAGTTGGTAGAGGACCCCGGTCCAAACACCGACGATTGGGCATGCCGGTGTAGGGGCCTCTGCGTGTCGGGCCATCATCCCAACAAGTTCCGGATGGCGAGACCCAGACGACCGTTACGCCCTAAGACGGTGATCCGGTTCGAGGGCCCAGAGTTCATGTCTCAGGGGGCATGAGTACGACATGGTACTCCTCACGCCCGAGCCCCACCAACCGACGGCGACACGCCACGCACCGGCAGACCAGCAAGAAGCGGCGCCGGGTGGTCGCTCGCCGTGTTTCGCCAAGCACGACGCGAGCAAGACCACCCAATGCTACTCGAATCAGGCGGCACGCCGCTCCCGCCGACATCCCACGACATTTGTTGGCATAGGCTCCTGGCCGGGGACCTGTCTAGCCCGAGCGGGACGAAGGAAAACGCCGGTGGCACATGGCGACGCCAGCCACCAAGCTCCGCCCACCACTCCTCGAAGAGCCGCCAGTGAGCAAAGTCCGGCGACGGCACCATCCTCATACCCCTTTGGGTTGAGAAATGCCGCCACCTCTTATGCTTACGCCACGCCGCCGCCACAAGGATCCCCGAGCGCCGCCGCTTCACTCTCGACATTGGCACCCACGCCGACTCCTCGAAGGAGGACGAGGCATGGCCCGAGTGGATTTCTCTCGACTCCACGACCGGGGCTATGCACCGCTTCTGGCCGCAGCGACTCATCGCTTCGGCCACTCCGACTCCGACAACGAGGGCACCCCACGACCCCGCCATGAAAGTGTTTCCACGTCGCTCGGCTCTGGATGCCGAGGGCGGGCGAGGAAGACGAGGGGCAGGTAGCCGTCCCCGCCGCCTGTGCACAAAGCGCCGCCACACCTCCGCGCATTGTCCTACCGGCAAAGACGGAACGAGAACCTTGCTCTTGCGCGACCTCAACGTCCAGACCTGGAACAGCTCCGTGAGCTCCAGGCCAAGGTCGAACAGGACCGACTCCTTCTACAGCAGCTTCGAGACTCACTCGAACAGGAGCCTGAAAAAGTTTGGCAAGAAATGGCTCGCCGAACTCCCATCGGTCATCTGGAGCCTGAGGAACACTCCAAGCCGAGCCACGGGGTTCACGCCTTTCTTCCTGGTCTATGGGGCCGAGGCCATCCTCTCCACTGACTTGGAATATGGTTCCCCGAGGCTACAAGCCTATAACGAACAAAGTAACCGCACCACCCGAGAGGACGCCCTCGATCAACTGGAGGAAGCCCGAGACGTCACGCTACTACACTCGGCCAAATACCAGCAGAGCCTACGGCGTTATCAGGCCCGACGCGTCCGAGGCCGAGACTTGAAGGTAGGCGACCTGGTGTTGAGGCTAGCACAGAGCAACAAGGGCCGCCACAAGCTGACCCCGCCATGGGAAGGGTCGTACATCATCGCCAAGTACTGAAGCCCGGCACCTACAAGCTGGCCAACGAGAAGGGTGAAGTCTTCACCAACGCTTGGAACATAGAACAGCTACGTCGCTTTTATCCCTAAATTTTCAAGCATTGTATATGGCGTTTCTCGAAATACAATTAAAAAGCGTTCTTTAGTTGGCCTAATATTTCGAGAAACCCCCCGGGCCCATCATAGGTCTCGGCAATATAGTAACACGACAAGAGAGGCTTGGCTCGCTTTCGGCGAGAACCAAGCCTCCTCGGGGCTAGATGGGGACTCCCCTAAGTCCCACGCACCATTCTTCATCGTTTTTGCAAAAAATTCCTACGCCAAGACTCTAGCATGCTCGACAAATCGGTTGTAAAACCCCTCGGACCAAGGTCCTGCTTCCTAAGCAAAGAGCCGGTAGAGTCGCTGAGACAGCCCACGCCCCAAGGCTCTGGCACTCCCTCACTACCTCTCGCCCAAGGGGCGGCTTAGGCCCCAAGGGGTGTTTTGCAAAGCGAAATCGATCAGAGCAACAGAGGCGAGGCTCGGAAACATGAGAAAAACAACTAAGAAACACAAATACTTCAAAAATAAAGGTCTCGACGGCCACAAGTGTTACGATACAAAAATAACTCCTACTCTATTTTTACATAGCCCCTGTGGCCCAGATCAAGGCTTAGGGCCTTCAAAGACCGACAGATGGTAAGGAGGAACCACCTCCTCTTCAAGAGCTGCCGCCAAATGCCGCCGTGCGGGGCCTTCCGCCGCCTCCATCACGCTTCGTGACCACCGTGGCCACCTCCTCCTCATCATCATCAGCAGGACATACCCATCACTAATGGCCGGGAGGTTGACGCCGACGAGTGAGAAGAGATGACGGCCGGCAGCAGCGCTTGACACCGTGTGTGCGCTCCTCGGAGCCGGCCGCAGCATCTGGTTGCTCAGCGCGATCAAACGGCTTCCTAGGGAGCTGCCTGACTGAACCCCTTCAACCTCCAAGGCCTCGCAGGCAGAAAGGGCAGCACGTTTCAGCGCCTCATGCTCCCCGATCTCGTTATCGAGCACCGTCTACACCGCGCTGGAAGCCTCGGCTGCCCGAGTAACCTCCGCCTCTGACTCTGCACCATGGAGAACAGAGTAAGGTTGAGCGAGGGAAAAAACAACCTAAATTAGGAGAGAAGCCCACGGAACTCACCCTTGGCCTTCAGCTCCCAGTGTCGGGTCTCGACCTGACAGGCCTCGGCTTTCTCCTTCCAGCGCAGCAGGCCTCGGCCCCGAAGCCTCGGCCTCCTCCTTCAAGCGCCGGGCCTCGACCCGAGAAGCCTCGGCCGCCTGAAGAAGAAGCTTCTCCTCCCGTCACACACAAGGGAGTTAGGGAGCGAACATAAGGAAAAGAAAACAAAATGAGGGGACTAAGACTCACCCGACCGTCCCCTCCAAACCCACGACCTCGGTTCATGAGGCCTCACCGCACAAGGGCCTCATCCAAGGCACCTTTTCGTCGGTGGTGCGCCTCCGCTCCGCCCCAGCCTGCCCCACGAGA